AAAGCTCATACAAGTGGAAATATTCGATGAAACAATTGAACAATGCAGCTTCTTCACATCGCCACGCTAATTCTATAGAAGCTATAAAAGTAGCTGCAGACCACCTGGATTACCTTATCACGCATCCATCATTGCAATGAATTATTCTGTATTTTTAATGCAACATCACTTGGCTTGTGTTTCTGTTGAATTGCCCCGAGGTTGCTTTCTTAGCGTTCTTTGTATTCTTTGCGTCTTAAGTTCTTTTAAATTGTCTGAAAATGATTAATTTGTGAATGTATTCCTTAAAATCTTGTGTTCTTTGTATTTTTCTCCAGTCCTTTCGGCATATTTAATGCAGAGTTCTTAAAAATGTTAGTGATCTCCTGGATGTTGCTTCGAAGTTCGAAACCTAATGCAGTACAAAGCTCCGTGTTTCCAGAATCGTTTTTGGTTTCGTCTAAAATTTAATGGGTTTCATTTCGTCGGTTTCATCGAAAAATTCACTACCGATCATGTACCCTACATCCATACTTTCATTTCAACAATCAAACGTAGAATGCACATTAGTTACTATCGTGGCTCGTTATCCAAATTGATATATATTGCCAAGCATTAATAATGAAACCAGTGCATGTCGCGGCGATAAAACAAAAACTTACAATTGCACGACAAACTGCCTCTGTCACAAATTTAGCTATATTATCTTGTAATAGTATGAATCCACTATTCACTGCCTCGCGCCGCTCCAGATTGCGCATGTACATCCCTATTTTAAGGGGACATGGTGCGGAGTCGGGGGAAGTTGCCCGTGCCCGTAGGAGCGCCGGGCTCCCCAGGCGGGCAAGTAGCTCGTGCGGGCGCGGTTTGACGTGCTTGCTCTAAACTATTAGACTCGCGTATGTATGTGTGTGTGTGTGTGTTTTTTAACGAATTTAGACCTCTCCTACGCGAAGGAATCGATTCGTTTGCGCGAGAAGATACTTAATGACAGCATGAACATGACCTAAGACTTCTAGGCGCACTTAACCGGCGAGAGGAAAGGCGTCGTATTCATAATCTAAGACTTCACAGTTACCGCGTCGCTACGCATATCTAAGTCTTCGAGACTCCGGGCATCGGTCCTCGCGATTAACCAAAATCATCCGAACGCATAATTTTCAACGCATTTTATGCCAAAATACTTATTTGCATAAATTTGGAAAACGGCAGAATACGAAGTCTAAACAAAGTATTACATTCTCGAAATTACATCCTAAGAAGAGAGAGTATTGATATAGTGCGCTTGAAAACAGCGAATTTTCGACAAATACTTCCTCTAGCATGTTCCATTCCACGTTTCGTAAGTTCGTAGTTAACGAATAATCGATTGTCTGTTCGTGTTCCTGTCCGTCCTTTCGTCCAGTCCGTCCGTCTGTTCGTCCATCAATCGTGGTCAACTCTAGCGCCAAAACCGTTCTCCCGGTTTTCTCCAAAATTTATATTCTTCGATTGACTTAAAGAAAGTCGTGGCGCTGTGGAGTTTCCGTTGAGTAGGTCCGGAGTTCGAGGGGAGTATCCAGATCCGCCGACAGTTGTTAGAGGAACCACTCTCATGGTTGGTGTTTGAGGTAATTAAATTGGTAAAATTGAAAAGTCTGTCTTATCCCCGAATTTTGAGCACTTCTGCGTAAATTCTGTTGTATTTTCAAATAGTGATCCTTCCGTTATAGTATTTTTAATAAATATCATTTTTCCTACACCAGCGGCTTACATTCACTCCGAACCATACCATGATGTTGCCTCACCCTTTCTTCACTGTAGTAGTTTTTTTCCCCTTCCATAGGACTTCAATAGGTAAAAATTTATTTCATTAGCAAATATATCTCGCGACCACTGTGTCTTGTGAAATGCTTTTTGGCGAACTCCAGTCGTTTTCTGCTACTTACTTTGCTCGCATACGGTTTCCTTCGGACCATTCGTCCGTTATATCTGGCACTTCCTAAAATCTTCATAACAGTTTAATAAAGAACCTTCTTCCTAGTTTCCACCTGCACCTAAGTCACAATTTTTGGACGCTCAAACCTAGATATTTGATATTTTCTGATGATAGTGCTCCTTTCTTGCGCCATGGGTGTTTCGTAGGTTGGCCTTTCTGGGTCTTGGACCGCATTTTGTCTTCGTTTTTGTGTCGTCTTATTATATCTCCAACCATACTTCGTGGAATTCTCACAAAGTATGGGATTTTTGTGGGAAAATTTGTTTCTCATAATGATCCGACTGACACTGTTGGAACATTGTGTTGCCACCTCTCATTACAAATACTGCACGCAAAAGACTAATCTAGAATGGTTAGCTGGTAACCGAGGGTTTAGGATAGTTAAACTGTAATCAGGCATTGCCTGCCCG